CCACCCATACGAAACCAAATCAAAAACATTGGCGTTAAGACTTTACTGAACCCGTACCAGATAATTTTAGGTATTGATAAAAGGCTTAAACCATATTTAGCCTCTAACTTATACATTTTAAGTCATATTTAGTATGTAGTTTATCTGGAAAAAGAATATTAATTAGGAAGCCACGCATAAAAAGGTTTGGCTTGGCTTAGGAAACTATTTTTTGGGACACTGGATAGCAAACATGCCTTTAAAGTTATTGGATCTCATCTAAAAAGTTAAGAATATATATTAATCCCTCAATAACATGATTTGGGAAAATTACCCTTTATACTAACAGATTTACTATATGCTTCTCGTGTACTAACAAAGTCGGCCCATGTCATATTAAGCGGGTAATTTTCACTCATTGCCACTGTAACTTACCAAATAGGAGAGAGGACACATTTGTGTTGTTAAGCAGGATTGGCATAACATTTGACTAATGCCTATGTGATAAGCACGCCTTAACTAGTGAAATAATGGTGAACTTTCTCAAATTATGTTGTTAATAGACTAAAAACTTTAAAGTTTTAAGCGGAGTCAATAACCATAAAATCTATAAAATAAGAAGCTAAATAAAGGGTTAAGCCTCGATAAGAAAAAGTTGAAGCATGGAGAAAGATAAAGCTAGTTGAAGCTTAGAGAAAAATAAAATAATGTTAGAGGAAAAAAAGGGTAAAATTCTTCAGTATTTATTGTACAATGAAGGTATAAAAGATGAGTAAAAGACAACTAACGATTTAAATAATTTAATGATAATTTTTTTTTATTAAAAGTAAAAAATTTTAAGTTTAAGTTGTATGATACACAGATAGAGTAAAGTAGGAGATATGAAAAAGTTATCCTCCATTATGCAATTAAAATAAAAAAAAATTATTAAGAAACAATCTTTTCTCATAATTCTTACTAATCATTTAATTATTTGAATTTTTATCTCTGTTAACAACAATAAATTAATATATATCTGGTCATTTAATAATATGTAAAATTTTTAGAAGTTACAACAAATAAAAAAATGACCAGGCAAAAGGTTGTGACTAAATCATTACTGTGATAAAATTAGCCAAAGGAGGAATATTTAAAAAGTTCAACTAAAAATTTAAATAATTTAATAATAATTTATGCTTTAAATAAAGTAAAAAATTTTGCACTCAAGTTGTAAAAATGTAACTGATGTGCGTAAGGAGAAGAGAAAAAATTATATATGTCCTATTCATACAGCCCAAATTTAAAATATATATATATATATATATATTTAAAGAGTTTGGGAGGCAAGGGCAGCAAAAAGGAACGAAGGACCAGTTTATTGGCAAATGAGAGAGCCTACACCCTTGGGAGAAACAAAGGAACAGAATTTTACTTTTTCTTAATGTCCTCACTCTTTTAATCTTCTTTAAGGAATTAACTATTATTAAAAATTGAATTTTCAGAGTTACAACGTTAATCAATCTCATTGGGTTTACATGGTCATGATTGTTACCCGAAAGGAGAGGGTCAAAAATAGCAAATACCAAACTTTCCTACTTAGAGCAATTGAGGAACACATCTCCTGCATTTGGAATCTCAAAACTCTAGAAGTAGGGGTCACCAAAAATAATTTTTATGGGTTTCTTCCCCATAGTTGTTGTAACCAAGACCTTAGGTAGCTAGGTTCCCTCCAATTACCCTGTACCAGGAAAAGAAGCAAAAGGCAAATCTTGACGATACACACACACACATGCCTTTCCATAATTTCCCTTGGCCTCTGATGTTTAATATAAGGGGGACATATCCATGCCTTACGTGAATAAATAATTGGGGTATATTCTCCATTATATAGGTGGCTCTTATTTGGTTTAAGAATGTTTGAGTTTACAGACTACATACATTATATTGTATAGATTAAAAATTTGAATATGATATTTTTTATATATACTCAAACTTAAACGTTTTTGTTGGTTTAGAAACTAATTGGGCTTAACAGGAGTTAGTTTACCATATAAGCCTATACTTGTATGTACGTAGTTGAAGATTTGAAAAGTTTCACCTAACCAAAAGATGATTCATACTTACTTTGCATTACCTAATTTTGTAAGTTTATTATGCTAAAATTCAATTTCTTCTTGGCCTTATTAGGTACACAAACTAATTTGAGATATTATTTTATATGAAAATAAAGAGAGAAAAAACAAATAATAAATAATAGAAAAGGAAAGGTGATTAGATTTGCTAACCTATTTGGCATTCACAACATATTTTTTTCTCAGTATTCATTTAGGAATTTTTGAATTTGATAAACTTTTAAGATTTTATTTTATTTTGTGAAATATCATGTATGGTCACAATAATTTCGACATTAAAAATATTAATACAATTTTGAAACAATTCTTTAATGGTTTTGTTGTAATTGTTTAATTTTAAATAAGAGGTTTTTTTTTATTATATAATTATGCAACAATATACAAAATAGTTACAAATCACAAACATACACTAGCATTAATTTAAGTGATTGCACATAGACACAAGCAACGTAGTAGTAAAGCAACGCAGACCAATCCTAAACAAAGGGTATTAGTCCTTGCGAGAAAGCTTTAATTAAACGGTAAATAATTACAAAAGGCAACAAAGTTAGGAACCTTCACTACAATTCCATGGCTTCCTTTTCTTTTACAAAGACCCCATCAGCCATTGAATAAGTGACTCAACTGCCAAAATGTATTTTTCTTCTTATACGGCAGAAACTGGAAACCTTGAAACTTAAGCTTGCCAAGTACAAATTAAAATAAATTATATAACAACAAAACATACCCCAATCAACATCATTCCTCTCAACGTTTTCCTTTTCCTTTTCTCAAAAATTTTCCCTTAGACAAAATCTTCAATTGCAAGCCCAAGTTTTTTACGTACAATTTTTATTTATATAAAAAGAAAAAAATGTAATTAAAAAACTTAGTATAAGGAAAAAATAGGTTTCAAATATCTTAATTGTTTTTTTTATAAAAAAGAAAAAAATCTCTAAATTACTAAACAAGTATAAGTAACATTTAATATAAAAAAACGGTTTCTATCATGAGCGTGGTTAAGAATTATATATTTTTGTATGTATTATTAGAATGTTTTTGAATTAATTTTTTATAAATTTTAAAATTATTTTTTTAGATAATTTATATTATTCACATTAGTTTAATACTTTTAAAAAAAATTAATTTTTCTAAATTTTAATTTTAAAATTTAATTATTACATGTAATTTATAAAATAATATTTATTTAACCGTGAAAATCAACGTTAGGCTAAAACTTTATTTATTCACTATTATTAGTGCTACTTGAAGTTGTCAAGATCAACAGATGGGATTTTTTATGTTGTATTATAAGATAAAGGTATAATAAATATATTATTTTATTTTTAATATATATATATATATATAAAATGATAAAGATTAATTTAAATTTAATTAATTAATTAATTAAATTTATTCATGTGATGATAATATTAAAATAAAAATAAATTTTTATTTTTTTTATATAAATTAATTATAAATATATATATATATATTACTTTTTAATGTAAGTCATAAAAACATATATTAAACAAATCTTAAATAAATATAGGTGAATGGATTGTAGATAATAATGGTCACCTGTCGATCATTCAATATCTTTTTTTATTTTGGTAAGTGTCAGTCATTCAATATCGAGTACAACCATCGGCCATCTAAACCAAACATGATCAATTAACTGCGCACAAGCAAAGCCCATGTTGACCCAAAATTTAGCAACGTTTGAGCTTTGGCATGAGCAAATTCCTTTCTTTTTATGTATGGTTTGCACTTTGCACTAAGAACTAACGCGTTTTAAGAGAAAAACCTTCGTAGGCCACTTGCCCGAAGCTCTCCATATGAAGGCTATCTCACCCTAATGTTTCAGCGTTTGTGTCCGAATCCGTCCCCCTCCAGGTTCGACACCATATTGCTTGTACCATAAAAGAAAAAAATAAAAGATTAAATGCTAAATTTAATCTCTCAACTTTAAGAAATGCACATTTTTTTATCTCTCAACAATTTTTTACATTTTTTTATCCCTCGACTCTAAAAATTGCACAGTTTTGGTCATTCCGTCAGTTAAGTATGATGTGGCAGTTAAATAATTTTATGCGGTATTATCTTTTAATTTTTTTGATGATGTGACAATAATATATATTTTAATTATATTATATAAATAAATAAAAATAACACGTATATTAATATTTATAATTTAAATAAAAACAAATAAAATTACCTAACCACCCTCCCCCACCCAATCCCTCTTCTTCCCCTTCTTTCTTTCTCTTTCTTTCTTTCCTGCCTTAGGTCTCCACCAGGTTGGATTCTGATGGCTGCAACAAACCCAACTTGCTGGATCTCGTCGAAACCCAGCCTGCTGGGTCTCGTCGAACCCAGCAAGGCTGGGTCTCCCTTGCTAGGTTCTGACGAACCCTGTTGGGTCTCATTGAACCCAGCCTTGCTAGGTTTTTCCAAACCCAGCTGTTGGGTTCGATGAGACCCAGCTGGGTTCCGATGAACCCCGTTTTGCTATTTCGATACTGGATTCATCTTTTTTCATTCTTCTTTCAATTTTCATTTTCAGTTGTTAATAAATTTGAGAGTTGATTTACAATTTGATTGTATTTTTATTGGAATTTGATTAGAGTTTGATTGATATTGTTTATTGAAAGGTTAATTTGATTTGATAAAATCTATTAAGTTTAAGGCGTAGCTGGGTTCAATTTCTCAAGTTCTTTTGAGAAAAGAAAAGAAGAAGAAATGGGTTAAGATCAATTTTGTAAAGGAGTGGAGATGAGAGAGCATTTAGAGAAGAAGAAGAAATGGGTTAAGATTGATTCTGCAGATGGAGTGAAGATTGATTCTACAGATTGAGTGGAGATGAGAAAGGAAGATGATATGTCGCAAAAAAAGTATAAATTAACGCCTTTTTAAGTTATTTTTGCCATGTTATAAAAAATATATATAAAAAATGCTATGTGACCGAGTTAACGACGAAAATTGACAGAAAAACTAATAGAGTGCATTTCGTATAATTGAGAGATCAAAAGGTCCAAAAAATTGTTGAAAGACCAAAAATGTGCAACTCACTAAAGTTGAGGGACCAAATTTAACATTTAACCAAAATAAAAAACAAAAACCAGATTTCTTGAAAGATTGCCGAGATGATCTTAAGATTCAACCATTATTTCAAGTTTCTATGGTTTTCAATTCCATCCGTTAAAAACACGTGAAAATGATCTTTGAGTTGACATTTTCCTCCTGAACGCCAGTGAAAATTTGCTGCAGAACATGCATATATATAGATTTAGTGAAAGAGATCAACCATGGATGATCGAGATAAGTCTAGTGTGATGTGGATAATCCAGAAGCACAACAAAATGTATTCCACATCACTTGCTAAAATCAAAAGTATGGTGTTGCATCTGTGGTTTAAGACCTGAAAATACACACAGCCACATTTTTCGGGTACTTCTTTTTAAGAAATAAACCCAGAAAAGACACAGCCAAACATCCAGCAACTTAACACAGTTATGCTTCTGCACTGTTACTTGATTGACATGCTCAGCCTTATCCCGCCGATGACCCCTACCTGCCTCAGTCTGCCAACCAATAACCATTCATTAATAATTTTACAATCTCGGATGTTTAAGTTTAAAGCCCACAATAACATGATTCTTTTAAATAATATGATGAAATGATGGAAGTCGGCAGATATTGTACTTAGTTTGCTTCTTGAAGCTTCAGGCGTATGGACTCAGGACTTGACATCTTATTGATACTGCAAAAATGTTTAGAAATCCAACAATTAGAAGCAGTTCTGAGGATAACATAGATTTCCATGGTTTTGCTAAAGTGAGGAAAAAAAGGGACAAAAAAGTTATATGACAACCTCAGAGATATAAAAATACAAAAAGCAAAGTTACACAGAAGACACATCTATTTCAAGCGCAAACTATTAATTAACTTACCAAACGAGCAAATCTCCGGATGAAGCCAACTTTTCAGATATCCATTCTGGAACTAATTCTAGTAGCAACTCAAGCTGTTCTTCAACTTCAACTGTAAAAACAGATCAACAGAGTTAAAGCTTCCATGAAACTAAAGTTGGTATCTGCTATAAAGCTGACAGTAGAAAGCCTTACTTTTATCAACAATAGCTGAATGGCCTGTAGTTATCTTGTTTACAAGCTCCTCTTTTGTGATGACTGACCGTTGTATCGATTGAAATAAATAATGAATCATGTTGAAGAGCTTAGGAAGGCTAGCAATCATCTGTCTCCGCCTCTTTGCTTGTGAGATCGCTGGATCTCGCTCCTCCATAGCCTTCCTCTCCTTCTCCCTTATCTGCAATAACAACAGTTGGTTACTTGTTCATCACGTGGGCCAAAGATGACTAAAGTTCCCAAAGGAGATTGATTTGTCAATGGTCATGACTTCCTCAATTTCCAGTTGAAGACAAAATTATGAAAGCAGGTCATAATAAGAAGGAACCAATGGTTTGTCGGTAGTTTATGAGGTATCTAGATAGAAAAAAAGCTATAGTGTAGAGACTTTAAAACAGGCTTACCGATTGCAGAAGACTCACAGGAAGAATACTATGAACATCATCATCAATTGAGTCATCTACCAGCTCATGGACTTTGTCAACCTTATTCTTCACAGGAGTGTCAAATTTCAATGACCTGGAAGGAGGAGGTCGCCTGACTAACTTGTTTGGCAAAGCTGTAGAGACATCATCTGGGCTCATGTAACATCTCTTTGGTGGCTGTAATCCTGGTGTAGCAGTGTTTGGCCCAGCTGGAGTTGAAGCAGGTTTTGCTGGAGTTGACTGAATGGTACCAACTTCTGAGGGGGAACCATCTTCACCTTTAATGAGTTCTATCCCCTTTACCGGAGTTGAAAGTGGGTGATTCAGAGTTAAATGAGTTGGATTCTCACTGTTGGTTGCTTTAGATGATAATTTAATTGTGGATGGTTCAGAAGCAGAGCTAGTTTCCTTGTTGGAGGAAATCTTCTCACAACATGGCTCAGCATCTCGAGGAGAGGAAGGTTGAAGGGAAAAACACCCTTCCTTGCCTCTAACCTTCTGAGAAAAGTGTTTCCTGAAAGATTGAGAGATATGAGATGCTGCCACTGATGGCTGCCCATTATCTGCATCAGTGGATTTCTTAATGGCAAGTGACAAGCTGCTAGTTTTGGTCGTTTGTATGGCTAAATGGTTAGAAGGATGTGGCTCTATTTCATCTTCATCTGCATCACCTTCTGTTGAAAACGTTTGTTGCCTATCTGTGAGTGTGAAAGTGGCCAAAACACTGGTAGATGAACTGGAAGCTTTGTTCACATTCAAATCAAGAGTCTGTTTTGAATGGCTAAATGGCTCTGGAAGATCTTCCTTTGGAATTTCTTCACCCTGAATGCATAAGATGTAAAGTTAATACAACATGATACCTTGTCAGACCACAGCAGAAGTACAGTGGAGCAAAAGCATCCTGCAAATGATATTAAAAAATGCATAATTTCGACTTATTGGAACAACCAGGCAATTTATAATTGATAAAACACAAAGTAAGCTTTCAAGCTTGGAAATTTTCAGTTTGCTTTCATTTTAGCAGAGCTGATCAGTTTTCAAGACATTCCTTGTTAACCTTCATGTATAGACTCAATGAAAACTTGATCAACAAAAAGTGACCTGACTATATACTTATGCAAATAATGAAAGCCTCAAACGTCACAGGCTACATAACCCACCATTTGGGATAAGAGAAAAATAGGCTTAAAACCTAAAGCACCAAAAATTAAAAAGCTAACAAGTAAATAATTCATATTCAGTAAACTGATCATAAGAGAATCAAAACACATTAGATAACATCAATCATATGCAAATAATGAAACCCGCAAGCATTGCAGACTACATAACCCACAATTCAGGATAAGAGATAAATAAGGTAAAAGCTGAAAGCACCAAACATTAAGAAACAAGAAGCAAATAATTTATATTGAGTAAACTGACATAAGAGAATCAAAACAAACGAGACAACATAAAGCAAAATTGCTAGCATAGTAACACCAAGTTATACCTGCGGATGTGCCTTGTAAAAATCCTCAATTCGAGTGCGAAAAATCTTCCTCAGATTCGGATTCTTGCTCTCTGATTTTGACTTAGCCTCAAATTCAATAGCATCAGGGTTAATGGTAATGTGAAGATCTGGCTTCATACAGCTAGTTCTCTCATCAAACATTTGCACCCGCTTTATCTCTATAGCCTCGGGTAAAATATGCTTCAGTTGGGCCAAGTGACCACAGGAAAACCTCCTATAAAATCAAAGTCATGCCAAGGAAAAAGGTATATATAAGATAAAAACAGAGGGTGAACAGGATCAAGGAAAGTACCTATCAGTTAAACGCTGAACTTGCGGAGAAATAGTCGCGAAATTAGACATCAAACCCTTCATTCTAGACAACCTAATTGCAGAATCCAAGCTATTGAAGAACTCACACAGCATTTCATGGCTGCCAAACAAAATTAATCAATTGAAATAATTTTCAATTTCCAACAAAATTAAAACTTTTATCAGACAAAATGAATGTTACCTTTGAGGTAGTTTGATGGAAGCATTGCCGGATTTTTTGGGAGGCGGGGTTGGGGCACAGTCGGAAATTATTGGGGCCAGAGATTCGGAAGGCGAAGGTGAGGTCTGCTTCCTGGTGGGTCGGATCTGGGCGATCTTCCTAATATCCTTGGTTGAGAGTGCAACGCCGCGGTTTCGGGCACGGTTGGAGAACGCCGGAGGCTGCTTATCTGGGGTTTTGGAGAGTGGGGGTGGAGAATGAAGCTTTGAGGCTGGATTCAGGGGAGTCTTGGACTTGCGAGGGGTGGATTGGAGAGAATCCGAATCCGTTGACGGCGATGAGAAGGATTTCGAAGGTGACTTCAGGAGTTTCTCGCACTTACTGGGAGTGGATCGGAGGGAATCTGAGGTTTCAGAGGAAGCCATTGTTGAAGGAAAAGGAGGGAGAAGGAAGAATTTGGAGGGAAAATCATAAACCCCTGTTATATATTAGGGTTTTCTGGCGGGAGATGTCCTCACTGGATGATTGCCACGTGGTTTCCCGCCACAATAATTCCATTTCCCGCGGCACTCCATAGGGCTTTAGATGGAAACGAGATTAAGTCAAGCGCATCTGAATTGAGGATTATTTTATTCCACCCCCGTTACGGAGGGAACACATTAAATTTTCTTATTGGTACTTAAGGTTTGGATTAGGTATTTATTCAACCCCTAAACATGAAAATGTAACAATCTAATTTAAAGTAAAAATGTTTATCAACCGAATTTTTAAAAATTTTAGAGCAAAAAACTAAAAAAAGTACATTATTTTAATTAACTCTATTAAAAAATACTAAATATAACATATTTAGAAAGTGAGAATGAAACAATTTTGATATTTTCAAATAATACTTCATTAAACTAATGTAATTTTAAGTTTTTACTTCTAATTTTTTGAAATCCAGTTGATAAATATTCATCTCGTAATTTAATTACCATATCAGATGTGTTGTATTAATTGAAAGATGTTAACGTATTAAGGCTTTAATGAAGGATCACAAACATCCAAATACTTTAAGTCATGAAGGTCAAAGGCTTTAATCCTTAAAAAATCATAGGCCTTGGATTGGCAAAATAGCTCTAAGTTGAGGATTATTTTATCATAAGATTGTTTTGCAATGTGTGCTACTCTAATTGTGAAATAATTAATCATTGATGTAAAGGTAAGTATGAAATATTAAAGAGTATCTTTTTCATCAATATTTAAGTAAAATATAGTCTATGTAAGATGAATTACACTTCACTTTTTTATTATTATATTTCACTCTAATTGTTGATAAAATATATGAACTATTAAATTTTTTTAATTGGCACTTAAGGTTTTGATTAGATATCATTCCAACATAAACATAAAAACATAACAATCAAATTTAGAATCTTAGATGCCCCATCAAATGCGTCATGTCAAACGGAGGATGTTAATGTACCAAGGCATAACCAGAGACTCCTAGGTATTGGCTTTACATGATCCTTCAGAGACTGATAGCAGCTGCCGCATTCCTAAAGAAATGACTGGGTAACAGTTCCATCCACTAGTTGCCATTTTCATCTGGTACTCCAGCGAAAGCTTGCTGCAATGATTAATAAACCAAAACAAGTCAGTATAAACTTCATGAACGAATTTCACCGCTGATGACAGATATAAGTGTGAGATGGGTCACCTGAAAGCACAACAAAGTGTACTGCACATCACTTGCTGAAATCTGGTGGTGCATGACAATTCTAATTCTGGAAGAACACAGGTAGCTTCGTTAGTTAGCAATAGTGTCCACGTTATTCCATATGGCGAATTAAACCAATAATGATGAGGAGCATATATCTTTGGAAGAAACACTTTGAAGCATTTCTTTTCAGGGTCTTAAGATTAATGTGAGCAAATTCCAAAGAAAAGCAGTGAAATGGGAAATAAGAGGAAAATTTAGTACTGAAACAATTTCTAAAACAACCAGACTCCAAACTTTGAGTGTAAGTAATTCTCTGAAAGGATCAAAACACAAGAAAAGAAGGGATCATAGCATTGTTCGCAGACTATCTGAGGTTGCCATCAAGGAACCACCATTGACTTTGTAAGAAAAAGAGAGGCTCCTTTCTTTTTCTTTCTATAGATTCTCAAATCATTCGAGATTATACCCAACAGAGAATAACAGATGACAAATTTGTAGAATTAAAGAACTGAAGTGTATAAGAAGTGAAAATATAAATGACTAACAGGTTGGGCTCCCTTGCTTACTTTTCATGACAAGTCAGGAGCATAGACTTAAATGCACCTTTTAATCAAGCATTCATGATCTAAATCAACTTAAGAGGGGAAAATGCTCATCCTTGCATGACTTTTCTCAGAGATCCATCTAACTTTGGCAATGCCAAAAGGTTTTTTCCTACAGAACAGTGGCTGCTAGTGCCTGAAACCTCTCTTTGCATTGCATTTACAATTGTTAACAGTCTTTAGCACTAGCATACCACTTCTAATCTTCTACAAGGTAATGTTGACTCATATAAGGACATTAAAGACCGGTGAATTTTCTTTTATTTCAATAAAACAAAATAGAAAAAAAATTCAAGGAATTCAGGACGATATCTGAGGCTGAAACTGACCTGGATGATGTCTCTGGCATCACAAGGACACCGTGCTCCCCCAAGTTTTTGCATAGTTTCTCTCCGGTGATTTTTGAGCCCTCCACTATGTCAATGAATATCTGGTAAAGTATAAATAATTATTAAAAGGAGTCCAACATAACAATTTTAGTTGAACTATTATTTCCTCGAAAGAAGTTGAGATATTAAAATATATTTATCAATTAATTATAATCATAATTAAAATCCTCTGATGTTGAAATCATTTTAATCCTTTCAAAAGTCAAACCCGAATGCAAATAATCCTCTGAAATATTTTAAAGAAAACTTCATCTTAGTGTATATTAGTGTGTTTTGTTCTGTCTTGGAAAACATAGTAAAATCAAAGTCAAAACAAGCAGGAAAGCTACTTCTTCTTCCTTTTTTTCCTTTTTTTCTACTCCCAGTTTCTCTCCAATGAAAATCACTAGTAATACAAACCTTGCATTCTAGAATGCAGAGAAAAGAAACACTGTCATGGTTGTAAGCTTTCGTAACTATGTTACTCACAATATTGGTCTCCACTGCAGTGACATTCACTCTCAGCCCTTTAATTTGATTTAGTCCCTCTGCGGATAAATATAGCCAGCAAAAATCCCGTGAATTTCCAAAGAAAGAGTTGTGAACAATGCAGAGAAAAGAAGAAAGCAATATTGTTCTTTAAACCAGAATGCTTGACATATCAAACCAAGTGAATTACTGTATTTATTATTTACCTGCCAGAACCTTAGCTTTCTTGTGATCTTCATCAAGCTTTCCAACATTCTCTTGCAAAGCAACCAATGCAGCAGCACAAAGGACACCATTCTGTCTCATCCCACCACCTAAGGTTTTCCTGAGCCTTCTAGCCTAGGAATGCAAGAAAATGTAGTTGGACCATAAATATCAACAACAGAATGATAGGGCTGCAGCTGTTCCTTGCTACAAAATTTTTATTCATTTTACCTTTGTAATAAAACTTTTGGAGCCAACAATAACAGAACCAACTGGAGCACCCAGACCTTTCGACAGACAAACCTGTTTACAAAATTAAGAGAAACATAAAGAAAGATCTGTAAAATTATGTATGATACATGAATAAATTACCCAAATCAACTGTTCATGAATATATGAAAAAAAAGATAAAAATTAGGTAGCTAAAGAGAACTAAGAAATAAGGTTGATACAAAGACCATACCGACACTGAATCAGCAGGTTGCACAAGCCTGTCAACAGGAACTCCAAGTGCCTGGGAGATCAACCATTTTGCATCAGATAGTAGGTTATTCACATACAAATGCTTTAAACACACAAGACATGCAGGCACATCAAATAAACAAATATAGAAGATGACTTTGATTAACAAGTAGCAAGCCTGAAGGCTTTGAGGATCTCAAATCGAGATGGAAAAACAGAAGATAACAGTAATGGAAGAATCAAGTTTGCAACGACTGAAACAATGGTTTTAAATAGATGGAACTTCATATTGTCAATTTATACAAACTCACTTAACTTCTATGTAATAAAATGCAGAACTAGCAATGAATAAATTTAAACAACAATTATCCTATGTCAGATACAACCTCATAACTCTTGCACTAAGACTCAGAACTTAGCCACAGAAACTCTGAGCTGAGAGAATCATTTCCCTATTTGAAACTTCATAGTGATGAGAGGGTAACATAACATACAATTAGATGCAGTAACTTGAATAGAATAGAAAAGAAAATGTTTTACTCACAGTAGCTGCATTGAAAATTCGAGCCCCATCAATGTGAAGCTTCAGATCATGTTTCTTAGCTAACTCACCAACTTTGTCCGTGTATTCAACAGATAGGCACCTACCACCTGAGCTGCATTGAATAAAAAGAAGAGTTGATCATTGAAAAGTATTGTTTCTCTAAGAACCCTCCTGGTATCAGTCTCTAAGATGCTATTAATTTGTACAACTCCCATAAGGGAAATTCGCTGCATTAATTAAAATCAAACCATATATGTTATCATTGCAAAAGAAACTCTCTATACATACACAATGCATCCTCCAACTATATAGCCATTGCATAAACAATCCACAATGTTTAAGCATTGTAGAAATATCAGCCAGTCATGTTAATTAACAAAAGAACAACATTAAAGACTTAATTTGGGCATTTCTGATTAAATGCACAACATAGACTTTGTGATAATTTGTACATAAAGGACCTAATTTTAACTTCTACCACAACATAGAAAGCAAGTCAGGAACCATAATTTGTGCATTTCTGACTAAAGGAACATTTCTCTATCCAAATCCAGAACCACAACAAACCATTTATCATTTTATAATGCTAACAAAGTTCACTTGGGGGCAGAATAAAACCGTGAAAATAGATGGAGTACACCATGCTGGCCATAGAGACATATTCAAAGGTCAAGTTTACATAAAATGCAGAAGCTGGTAAATCTAAGGAAGTGGCAAAGGAGTACTAAAATCAGTTGAGGGCTCTGTTACACTTCAGAAAGCATGTTGAGGAAAGAAAACTTTGAAATTGCTTTCCATTCTAACTAAGCATACATGAAGATGCTGCTATCTCAGGATCTCTTGATTATTTTAAGATTAAATGATAGCTATGTCACTTTAGCAATGGAAAAATGTATGTCTTAATATATAAGATTATAGATCTTTGTAAGTCAACCATCATGATTAGACAACAATCATCCCCTTGCACCAGGGGATAATTCCATTTACAACAACTAAGGACAGTCAACCTTAACTGTAAACAACTTATTTCACCAAATGACAGGCTAATCACTCAAAAGGGGATTTTAGTAAAAAAAGAAAAAAAAAGTACATCTAATCAGAATTTGTCTGTCACTTCAGCTGCAGACAAATTTCAAGTCTGATAATTTGTGACTTTAGGAGAACATTTCCTGGTTCCCTTGAATGGACATTGGTATTAAGATTTTAATCAATCAAATGGATAGCAAAATTGGGCTCCACATGCAAGTGCAGGTGGTTATAAGGGACTTCTAAATTAATATTTCAAGCCTAAAATACAGACAAGGCATAACTTTCCTAATCCTTACAAAAAATAGCAGTGGCTTTCTGAAACGCCATGGAATCATTAAAAAACGTTCTGAGGTAAATCTAATTATTCAAATGCAAATGATACGATCATCCAACAAGAAGACAACAAAGTTTCAAGAGAAAAAAATTCTTACTTTGCATGTGAGTTTTCCAAGCAAATAAGCCTTGTGGTCGGGTAAACCAGCTCCCAACTAGGATTCCTAATGGCAGCTTCAATCAATTCGATATTCATTGTTCCATCATCATTATTCTTAACAGTCCTTGGGTGTACACCTCCCAATGTCGCAATTCCACCATTCTCAAAAATATGGACATGTGAATTGTCTCCAAGAATGACTTCACTCCCTCTAATATCACAATGAACGAGCACACTAATGAGGTTACCCATAGTGCCGGATGGAACAAACAGACCAGCTTCCTTCCCCATGATCTTTGCCACCTCTGCTTCTAAGCGAAAGGTAGTTGGGTCAGAACCTAACACATCATCATCAACTTCAGCATTTGCCATGGCAGCCCTCATCAATTCTGTTGGCTTGGTGACTGTGTCAGATCGAAGGTCCACTGTTTTGGTCACCATTTTTGCTGAAGCTAATAACATAGAAAATTAGTCTAAGGCACTTCAAAAAACAATTTGAAATGAATAAAAAATGAGTTTCCAAAGTCAGAAAACTCCTAGACGGATTAGAGGTTAAAGAATCACTTTTCTTTGATAATGCTCACCAAAATAATACTTCATTAGTAGAATTATAAAAAAAATCTTAAAGAATCAAAGAACTCGCATGAAAGCATACTGGGGTTGAAAGCATAATGTTATTCACTATAATTCATTTAATAAAGCACCATGTGCCAACCAAAAAAAGAGTAAAATTCGATGATCAAAAAAGAAGAAAAACACAAAGCACCATGATGACCTTGTACTTCCAAATGCACATGTCCTTGAACTAATCCCAAGGAAATTTAAAAAAATCGAAACTTGACACAGGCAGAGAGAGAGAGAGAGTTACACTTTTTCTTCTTTTAACCCACAACCAAACTCTTCGCTAGGATCTAAAGAAATCAAAATTCCAATTGATTTCTAATGAATTCCGTTCTCGAAATTATTGCTCCCTTAGTTTTTCGCAGAAATGCAGAAATCAAGAAAGACATTCAGAGACAGAAAGTTTATATAATAAAAACACAGCCGCCTTATTATAAGAACAGAGCAGCAGTCAAAATTTCCATTCCGAGAAAACACAAGGAATCAACCCACATGCAAAAGAAAAACCCCACTTGCCACTTAACTACTGCAAACAAATAAAAATCAGGTTCTTCACACCCAATAGCATCTATAGCAAAAACCCAAATAATCCCAGATGCAAGAATCGAATTGCACACGTTCTTGGTTAAAAAATTCCACCAACAACCATCTAAATTTGATTCAAATATTAAAAAACCATAAACAATACCTTAATCTTCTCAGGGTTCACACCGCTTAGTGCTTGCTGAGTCAGAATGCAAACGCTAGTTCACCTGCCTTATAGTTGGACAGAAATGCACGTCTCTGTCATGCAAAGACGACACCTCGTGGAAAGGAGGATGCATTACATGAGATCATAAGGAGAAACAAGTGGCAGCCACGGAGTAGAAGAGAAACGTAGTGGAGAAAAAGTGCGAGTAAGAAAAAGACGTACCTAAGAAAAAGGTAAGGGATATAATTTTTTTTTTATTTTTAATTTAAAGATATAAAATTTTTGAAATTTTAAATTATATAGTAAAATTTTATTTTTTGTTTAAAAATATAAATTTTGTTATTTTTTTAAAAAAATATGATTTTTGTCTTATTTCAATTTAAATTATTATTTGTTATGTCATTATTGTCATTTAATAAATTTTTAAATAAAAAATATGAAATTTATATCTTCATTTAAAAAATTATAAATTTATCGTTCAATTTAAAATTTTAAAAAATTTATATATTTAATTAAAAAATAACAGAACTAGTATCCTTATCTATATATATATTTTTAAGAAGACAGCAACATATTACTTGTACTTACCATATATAAAGTTAAAAATAGGCAAAATTAACTCCTCAAAATAATTTTCATTTTTAAATAAAAAAATTTTGGTGAAAGAAAAACCCTTAGCAGATTTATCCAAAGCAGATAGAAAGAATCACGTGTTGATCACCTGATCTTTTTACTCTAATTTGGTTTAGTTTATGCACAAATAAGATTTAAAAGGATGAAACTTGATAGCAAATGAGCCCTCAGAGATGCAATTTATACAAATGTACCCAAAAAGCAAATAGGTCTAAGGTGAAAATAATGGACCATATATTAATGAATATGGCAGACAGATGACCCTCAAAGTTTCTTCGAAAGCTTATTTATCAATAAAAAAAATTTAGGGATTAATTTGCAATATTTTTCCTCTTTATATACTTTGTAAGAAGTTTGGATCAACTTACATACGTTTTATACAAAATTATTACAAAAAATTTTAATTATTTATTTATCTATTATAAATAAAATTATTTACCTTTTTATCTTATTTTTTAAAACTTATTTTTTTATTTAAAAAGACATAATTAAATCTCACTCATTCATAACAAAAAAAATAAATAAATAATTATGATTTTGTATAAAATTTATGTATAAATCTTGTATATAAAAGAATCCTATCTCACTCTTTTAGGTAGGCTATATAATGTTAGAACAGGAATACAAATTATGATTTGTTTTTACCATTTATTTTTGTATGCTTTTCTTTTTTAATTACACAATAAAACGAATATTCTCTTATCATTTACCCATCTTAAATGCATGAATTAATTGTTATTTTTTTATTTTTTAAGATAGATAAATATTTTAATTTATCCACTTTTAATACTATTTTTATCCATTTATTTTAAATAATTATCATATCACGTAATGTCTATCTTTATATTTTATCTCTTTTTAAGGCCAATATATGTAAACACAAATTGTCACTAAATTTTTAATTTATAAAAAAAATTAAAAAATGATAATTATTTTTGAACAAAGGAATAGTTTTTCTAGTTTGATCTAGTTATCTCACTTTACATATTTATTATTATCAAGAAATTCATTTAATATAATAATTAAGATTTATATTTCCATTTTCACCCTTATTTACAATTAAAC